ACATGAAACACTCCCACCTGTGTATCTGCTGGCTCCAGCAGCCTGCCTGAACATGAGGAAAATCCTCAGAAAAGAGGAACAGCCTGGCATCTGAGAACAAACTCAAACGTCTTTCTTCCTCTTCTTCTTACGAACCTGAACATGGAGCTGCTTTAAGTTTCACCAGAAACCAGAGCTGGAAAATAAGAGCCTCCCTATAATTCAGAGAAACCCTCTCCTGCCAATAAAACACGCAAAACGCCCCTTGTTTTTCACACAACAGGGTTATTTTAGACCACCCCTGTGCTCTGGGACCAGTCAGAAAAGAGTCACTCAAATCTGTCCTGAGGATTTTCTGTGGCATGAAGAGAAAAATGTGTACAAGCTTTTAATCAAACCACAAAACTTCGATCAGTCGAGGCAAGATCCCTCTGAGGCTTTCAAAATGTGCAGAATCACTGAATGATGCTGGAAATGACTCGTTTCTAAACACATTCAGCAGGTCACACCTTCTCAGTGGCCTAGTGCCCTGGGACTGGGAGATTGGGGTTCAAATTATGGCCATGCGACCTGACGATGAAAGATGATGATCTACCAAAGCTCCGAGCAACCGTCTAACTGTGTACCATCACCTGTGCCATTATTTCTGGACATGTCTACTGACACCAGTGATGTAGAAAGACATTTTTTCTCAGCCGAGCCATGCTATTTGCTAGGCTGCTTCTGTCAACACAGTGATCAACCCACAGTGATGCAGGGGACTGTTCTGTTCTGGTCCTGCTGGACCTGACTGCAGCCTTTGACACTGTCGACCATCACCTGCTACTGGAGAGGCTGAGAGATTAGGTAGGCCAATCAGAGTCTGCTCTAGAGTGCTCCTTCTCTGTGGCCGTCTCAAAGTTTAGGTCTTCCACCACCTCCCTCACCCATGGTGTCCCACAAAGCTCTGTGCTGGGGTCTCTACTCTTCCTCCTCTATCTGCTTCCTGATTATCATGTCAGTTCTCTTGTTCGCTCTTCCTTCTTCCATCTCAGGAACATTGCTAAGAAGAGTCCCATTCTGTCCCGCTCTGAACTTGAGACAGTTCTCCACAATTTCATCTTCTCACGCTTAGACTACTGCAACTCTCTTTTCACGTGTCTGAGCAAAACCTCCCTGAACCGTCTATAGGTTAGGGTTATGGTCCAGTAGCAACAGTATAATGGTATCCCCGGCATCTGTTGCTAAAAACACACTCACTCAACACCTTTAACAGTAGTCTCAGTACTATGCCTCGCTGGTTGAGATGAATATTTCAACGATCTGTAATGGATAAAATTGATTTCTTATTTATTTGACCCATACAAACTTACAGTGGGGCCAGGAGAAGCCGGGTTTTATGGCAGCCATAAAAGTTTTTCTTTTAGCTACAGTTTGAGAGTTCAGCTTCAAAGAGCAGGAGAATTATTTACACCCCCGTCTCTTGTTAGCACAGCCCCAAGGTATGGGTCCAGATAATGAAATAAAACCCTTTTGGTTGAATCATGGACTTGTAACCTAGAATATATTATTTATCCTTTACCTGGCACCTTCTACCTAATATGGTAGGAACAACAGAGACCGATGGGCATCAGGGAGAAGATATGTTTTGCCAAACAAAACACTTAAACATCAGATTTAATTTTCATCTCCACAGTTTAGCGATATTATTTAGAAAGAATATACAAAGAAAAACACAAGAAATATCTATATATGTACAAAAATAGTGCACACTCTAATGTTCAAACTATTTGGTAATCAGAATAACCACCATTTGACAGCTTCTTATTTGAAGATGTGAAATTTCACATCTTCAGCATTTAGATTCAGTTCAGTGTTTACTTACAGTCCAACAAAAACAGCAAGGATAGACCCGAGTTCCTCTGGTGTGAATAGACTACATTCTGTTATAAACTGAGCAGCTCCAACCGCACCAGAAGGTGGGCACTGCAGGTCTTTGTTTCTCCACATCTAGTATCAGCAGCTTGCTGGTTCGACATCGGTATGACACGCTTGTCCAAAAAAAGTCCTTACATCCAGTTCCACACTCGGGTTCACGTCCAGTCATCTGTGGATCCTTAAACCTGGGACCCGGGGCCTGGACGGTTCTCACTTGGGCATTAGCTCACGTCACGAAGAGTCTCTCGAATCACACCCCTCTTCGGATTGCCGCGACCAACGCTGGAAGATGCAGTCAACTGAACGCCGTTTTGCTCACGTATACGAGTATGTTCACTCAATATGGATGCCGCCATATTTCTGACGCGTCAGAATCTCGTGGGATTCCGGTAACTTCGCGAGACTCCCGTGTTGAAATGAAGACTATAATAAATTCTGAAAAAGGAAATACCAAAACACTAGCAAATAAATCCTAAGATGGAAAACCAGTAAATTCCAAAAAATCCCAAAATAAAACAACTTCTAAAACCATGGGCTGAATCACAACACGAGTTACAGACCACTTTGTCTCGAAAAGAAATTCCACAACAGATCATAATAAAACAGCATTATTGAACTTTACTTTTGAAATCAGTCTAAATGTACGATTTTTATGAAGCACAGAGCAAGAGCCCACATGAGGGATGAACTGAAAACGGGGTTCACCTGACGGCCTGTTTTGGTGATTTAGCCGTTTCCGCATTGAACTGAAAATGCACTTTTGGTTCATTTTAGGCCAAAAATCTTCAATGGACACATTTTCAGAGCATCTCTAGTTTTAGAGGTTTTCAAAGAACTGTAAAAATCTGGTCTAAAATACATTGGAACTATCAAAGTCTGGGTGACGCTTGTTTCCTTCTACGGGAGCCTGTGAGGACAAAATGCATTTACCAATTTATAACAAAACGGTTACAAACCTTTCAAAACGTTGTTGTTTTACACGTTTACTTCTTTGCTATCCCCACTGATAACAAGGAGTATCATGTACTTACTATTATGCTGACAAAGGAGTCGGGCCCACTTTTCAAAACATCCATCAAACGAGACGGAGAACGCAAGCTTGTGATTGGTCAGGGTGGCGCTTTTGTCAACAGCACCGCCATTATGCCCTCAAAAACAAAGATATTGTAATGATCCATAAGGGGCCACTGTTCCATTGGTGCCGTCTCTAACACCTCTTTTATAAGACACACCATGCCGGCGAATCAGCGTAATATTACCGCAATGCTATGTCTATAAAACGCGCCATGGCGGCATGGCGTTGCGCGAATTTTGTGGCAATCGTTCCGCCTTGCTTGGTAGTAATATTGCTGTAATGGTCTGTCGTATGCTCCCTGGCGCAACAGAGGCAGATGTCATGATGACGTGGGGAGTTATTGCTGAGCTCCGGCTGGCAAATTTATTGAAAATGAAAGTAAACACAGGCAATAAGGTTTGCTTTTTGAACAAAATCAGGTGAGATGGCAAACTGGAGCACTGCAACGCTCCACGAGCCTCTCTGTTAGAGCTGAAGCTCAGATCACCAGAGACTGCACAGGGACTGATGGGGACAGACACCTTTAAGAGCTGCTTGTTAAAAAAAAAAACGTAACGATAATGGCTTCAGTCGCAATAAAAAGCAAGTTATGTCCAAGATAAACGGAAGTCTGCGGCAGTGCAGAGACCGCCCCCATACCCCCTTTATGCCGCCATCACCTAATCTTTTATAAAATTGCCACGATTGCGCCACATTACCGCCACGGTCTGATCTTATAAACAACCTTTATCCTCCCCAGGGAGCCGCGGTAAATCCCGTTTGGCAAACGCTATGGTCCTGTAAAAACAGCTTAAGAGACCTGTTCTTGGTTGGGGTGGGACTTGTTTGTGGGCTGCTTGGTGTTGAAGAAGTTAATGGAGCTGTAACTCCAGCCGTTTTCTAACAAGCTAATAAATTCCTGTCTGGTGATTTTGAGTCAACGCTACAATATCCAGCGGCAGACACGGAGCAGATTGAAGAATATCTCGTGGAAAAACTCTAAAAAATATTAAAGTTTATTCTCCCATGACTGGAGAAGTGAAAAGATAAGCAGCAAGCGTGTTATTTGTGGATAGAAACGAAACGTGGGTTTGAGGTGGTGAACACATGAAGAGGTGGAGGAGAATGACGGACAAATATGTCCAAGTTAAAAAGTCTCTGAAATACATAAACACAATTAAATGCACTATCTTGGACCGGATATCCCAGATCAGCACTACGCCCTCTGCTGTCCTGGCGGGGAATAGCTTTGAAACTTCCCCAGGAGACGGAGAAGTAGGCATGTCTCTCCATTGTGGAGCTGACGCAGAAGCATAAACCAAGCTTAACCCAAACTGTCTGTTTGGGACATAGAAAGGCTACTTAACTGGCACCACCCTGCCTTTAAATATGACTGAGAGACAAACACGCCTCCATTTAGCAACCAGAGCTGCAGAAGGTCAAGAAGATGGAATACTATAATCCAACCCAGTTCAACAAACGTTTCAGAGGAAATAATGAAAGATGATCAAGCACACAGATGCACATAGTTATGTGAGAAAAGCTTTGAGAAATGGTGGTGGCACAGGAGTTAAGCGCTCGCCCGTAATCAAAAGGTTGCAGGTTCGAGCCCCGCTCAGTCTGCTGTTGTGTCCATGGGCAAGACACTTAAGCCCCCTTGCCCACTGGTGGTGTTCAGAGCGACCGGTAGCCTCGCCTCTGTCAGCGTTGTGGCTATATCGTAGCTCATCACCAGTGTTTGAAGGTCTAATCGCGTTGTAAAGCGCCTTGGGGGGTTGCAGAACTCCATTAAATAAATGTATAATTTAAACATTAATAATAAAGTAGCTTTAGGTTAATCAATTTTATGGAAAACTGAGTCTTTAAGAGGCTTTTGCCTAAAAATATGCTTTGTAAATGTTTTATAATTTATTGTCATTAAACTTATTCAGAGAAAAAACACATTTTAAACCCATCAAAATGAGAAGTACACGTGTATCCCTGTAGTAAACCACAGGAAGAGGTTTTCTGTTCACGTTTTCATTTTTCTGCGTGTTTTGGGCGCTTTTACCTTGTGGAAGTAGCGACGAAATCCCCGTCGAGCAGCCGAAGCTTGCAGAACAACACCCCGTTGACAAAAGGCACCGCGGTGAGCTCCTCCAGGGTCAGATGGGTCTGGAACTTAAATTTCTTCTTTTTCACGAAGAAGGCCATTATTTCACCTTCTAACCAACGCTGTTCAACACCAGACCCGTCGACGCTAAAACTCAAGTCGTGACCGCTGGAGACGCTTTAGCTCGAGTTTTCACGCGAACTTCGCTTCTTCTTCAGAAGTGATTCAGCGCTGAAATCTGAAAACAAATCAATTAAGTTAGTCGGTAAACAGCGGGAACGAACGAGAGAAACTGTGAAACTAACAGTTTTCAGAGTGACAAAAGTCTCACCTTGACACATGTTTCTTGCGACCCTCAGCAACTAATGTTCAATAACATAAAGTGTCCGAAAAGACCCTTAAAGTCTTTTTAACAGCCGAGAGGTGGAACTTTGCTGTTAGCAGCGTTAAGCTAGCTCTTGTAGTCCGGTGACTTCCGACCGAATCCTTTCAGAATAAAGGCACATATTGAAAATTCAATCATCAAACATATTTTCAGATTTATGTAGAGGATGACATAAGGACTGCATTACCCATGATTCCCAGGGAGGCTGAGAGTAACCGTTAGATGAGTTATAATGGCACTGCAGCAAGGAAAAGAGGAGAAAAGAAAGCTGAGGTTTTTAACGGCTAAGAATAAACGAGGGAGCCAGGTTGAGTGGATCGCCTACTGGCCACATGCAGCTCTTAGAGAGTGTGAATGCACCGGGAGTTGGCAAACTCCCAAAAGCAGCTGTTTCTACGTCCCAGTTCCCGGTTATTCAATTCCATTCCAGTTTATTAATATAGTGTGACAGTGTGAGCGTCCTGTCACAGTGTCCCGATTGATCATGTGCCCTGGCTACCTGGCCAAGGGGATGTCCCTTTGGCTGACTGGTTAGAGCGTATGACTCTCACCCGGGAGTCTGGGGATCGAATCCCGCCCGGGCCCTCGTTTCTCCAACTTGCCACATTTGGCGTTGTTGGCAGGATCCATGTAGTACTGTCAAGTAGGTCCATGGATGTGAAGTTTGTGGCACCCTGCGCGGGAGCACGAGGACGTGCTTGTGGAAAGAGGGGGGAAGATGTGACAGTGTGAGCATCCTGTCACAGTGTCCCGATTGATCATGTGCCCTGGCTACTTGGCCAAGGGGATGTCCCTTTGGCTGACTGGTTAGAGCGTATGAGTCTCACCTGGGAGTCTGGGGATCGAATCCCGCCCGGGCCCTCGTTTCTCCAGGCCCATGTTAAGTTATCAGAAGAAGTAGCGCACCTAGATGGGGCTCATAGAGAGCGGTATTTACAAAAGTTACATGTTATTAAGTAGCTTATGAACATTAGCTTAAGTTCTCTCTGCAGCTGTTCACCAATGTAAACAACCTATTCACCCGACTGGATTTATAACATTATGTTATAAACAGCGTTTCCCTTTACACCGAAGCTGATTTAAAATAAGTCTGGATCCCCACTAGTTTTTGTTGGCCTGGTGGTGGCTCTCACACCGGGATGAGACAAGATCTCTCTTAATGGCGACGCTCATACTAAGTAACGTAATTTTAACACACGTAATCCAGCATTGGAGCAATATTTTAATTAATTATCTCGCATTTCACTACAGTGGATGGTACCGCGCGTCCTCCATGGTGAAATACCCATCCATCAGAAGAACGCATCACACATGTCCCTGTCTTCGTCATGAAATGAATAAATGTTAACCTTACCTGGTAAAAACACGTTCGCTGTAAACCTGAGGGCTGCTAGTCTGTTTGATTGATCGCTGCAGTTCATTTCCGTCCTCAGTCTCGATCAACGTTATTTAAAACAAAACGAGTTGACTCTACATCCTTGTCTGTTAGTGCAATCAGCCACGTAGCAAGTTCTTACAATTTCACCGTGAAACCAACTAAATAAAAGCGATAAAAGGCTACAAACAGGCAGGAGACAGGAGGCAGGAGAGATATGATCTCTCTTTTTAATTCTCATCAGAACTCTAGCTGCAGAATTTTGGACAAGCTGACAAAGACTTTTAACTACATTCTGTGGACTTCCTGACAGTAATGAATTACAATAATCCAGTCTTGATGTAATAAATGTATGAACTAGTTATTCAGCATCACTCCTGGAAAGAATGCTTCTAATCTTAGCAATATTCCGAAGGTGGAAAAAGGAAATCCTACAAACCTGTTAAACGTGGGATTTGAATGACATGTCCTGGTCAAAGATAACACCAAGGTTCCTTACTTTGTTCTCGGAGACTAATTTAATGCCATTCAGGTCAGGTGATTGACTAAGAAATTTCCTTTTCTGATTTTCAGGTCCAAAGATGAGAACTTCAGTCTTGTCTTGATTTAAAAGCAAAAAGTTTAGTCATCCAATTTTTTATGTCTTCAAGACAAGCCTGTAATCTATCTAACCGATTTAGGTTCATCAGGGATAATGGATAAATAAAACTGAGTATCGTCAGCATAACAGTGGAAGTTTATCCCATGCTGTCTAATGATTTTACCATTTGAAAGCCTATTTATATAGTAAAAAGAATTGGTCCAAGCACTGAACCCTGTGGTACTCCACAAGTAACCCTGGAGTATGAAGAGGATTTGTCATGTACATTTACAAAATGAAATCTGTCAGACAGGTAGGATTTAAACCAGCCTAGCGCTGTTCCTTTGATCCCTACAACATGTTCAAGTCTTTCTAAAAGAACATTGTGATCAACTGTGTCAAAGGCAGCACTGAGATCTAACAAGACTAGAACAGACACAAGATTCTTATCTGAGGCCATGAGAATATCATTTGTAACTCTCACTAATGCAGTTTCAGTGCTGTGATACTCTCTAAAACCAGACTGAAATTCCTCAAACAGATCATTAGTGTTTAAATGCTCACATACTTGGATGGCCACTATTTTCTCCAGGACTTTGGATAAAAATGGAAGGCTAGATATTGGTCTATAATTCAATGGGTCATCTGGATCCAGAGAAGGCTTCTTGAGTAAAGGTTTACTAGTTAATTAAATACCAATTTAAATTGTATTGTTATCATTTGCTTCAGTGCAATATTACATAATGGAGCACAAACAAACTTGTAAACAAACCTGAAACACTTAACGTTTAGAAATGTAATAAAAAATGAAATCATCTCTATTAGGCTCAATCGAAGTTTCAGTTCATTGTTTTACCATTTCTTAGAACCATCCCTCCTGATAGATTATTTTATGTGTATTTCCTTTAATTCATCGTGTGAAACAGCGTAAAATACAGCAAACCTCTGCATTCCTTTTACACTAATCAGCTGTGTTCTTACTTTTTGTACAAAGAAATTCCCTGACAGGAAACCTTCAAGCAGTCAGTTATAGCTCAATGCTGCCACCTGCTGGGTGTTTGTCATCATTTTAAAGCGTTGAAACCAGCCTGTTACAAGCTGTTCTTATGTATGTGGTGTGTACACAGTTTCTGTCACCATGCGGTGGAGATGGTGGTCAAGGCCGGATTATAATATGGGCAAACTGGGCACAGGCCCAGGGGCCCACAGCCACAACGGGGCCCACGCAAGCAGCAGTCTTTTTTTTTTCTTTTTTTGTGCAGCAGTCTTAACGTTGGAGAAAAATGTTGAGAAGTAATTAGAATTGTGCCCACATTTTCTAAGTTAACACACATTTCTTTTAACAACGGTAGTTTTTGCATCTTTACTATTCCTGCTTCAGCCCTCTTCCCCCTCCCCCTGTGCAGCGGCCGCAAACTCACTGATGCGCCTGCAGCCTCTCAGAGTTCCTGCTGATCCAAACATTGAAAGAATAATTTCATTTTATGTTCCTCACTTCTGATTAACTTCAACAGTGTCTGTTTGTTGCAACCACCAGGTACAAAAACTAACTTGTTTTTCTTTGACTATTTTTCTGTCCTGTCTCTGTTTATTATCTTCCTGCATCTCCTCTCAATCCTAAAGAAAATCTGCTACCTGACTTCATATTTTCACCTCACGAGTTACCTTTGAACTGCAGTTCTAAAAGATCTACCGACCGCAAATACAGCAGAGTGCGCGCCGCGTGCCGGCTGCACCGGTGCGGAGAGGTTTCCAGTCAGAAATAAAAAAGTTTGAAAACTATTTAGTAGCACGTGAAAAGCTATGAATTTACAATCTGTACAAAGCAAGGCAGCGTTATTTATTAGCACATTTCATAGACAAGCAGTTCAATGTGTCTAAAGTTGTAGTGGTGCACAGATGTATTGAAAAGCCTATTTTTACAGAGATGTGATATCATCAGTGACACAAGAGTTAGTCAACAGCATGGGTACAAAGACTAGTGGTGAGTTGTGTGTGTGTGTGTGTGTGTGTGTGTATGTGGGGGGGGGGGTCTTTTCAAGAGTCACAAGACGTGTTAAAGGTCAAAATATGACCTCACATGTTTTAACTTCATTCTCATATAATTGTGTCCCTATTCGATGTATGAGGCTGCACGGTGGCACAGTTGTTAGCACTGTTGCCTCGCAGCACGAAGGTTGCAGGTTCGAAACTCGGCTGCGGCCTTTCTGCGTGGAGTTGCGTGTTCTCCCCGTGCATGCGTGGGTTTCCTCCGGGTACTCCGGTTTCCCCCACAGATCACAAAATGCCCTACAAGTTAAAAATTGTACGTCGCTTTGGATAAAAGTGTCTGTCAAATAAATAAACAATAAACATAAACATATTCAAGTAAAAATGCTAATTAAAACTTCACAAAGGTAAAGAATTTAAATAAATGAGTCATTCTGAAGCTATAGCCTGTGTTTGCATAGCTTCTTCTCAGGGTTCTACGACCCCCCAAGGCACTTCACAACACAACCCAGTCATTGATCAAGACACTTAACCCACCTTGCCTGCTGGTGGTGGTCGGAGGGACCGGTGGCGCCTGTGCTCGGCAGGCCTTACCTCTGTCAGTGCGCCCCAGGGCAGCTGCGGCGACATCTTAGCTCATCACCATCAGTGTGTGAATGTGTGTGTGTGAATGGATGACTGGTACACTGTAGTGTAAAGCACTTTGGAGTCCTTACTCTGAGAGGCGCTATAGAAGAGCGGGTCATTTATCATTGACCGAATGCTGCGTCGTTGTAAAACCCAAGTTTTTAGTTTTTTCTTTGGTTTTTAGGGTCGAAGGTCACGGTAATGCTTACTGCCTGTGTGAGTACATGCACTTTTGTTATTATTTATCTTCTAATTGTTCTCTTATGGGCGTATGCTGCTGTAGGATCAATAAAGTCCATTCTATTCTGTTCTATTCTACCCATTCACACAGATGGTGATGAGCTACCATGGAGCCACAGCTGCGCTGGTGCGCACTGGCAGAGGTGAGGCTGCTGCGCCACCGGTCCCTCCGACCACCACCTGCAGCATAGGGGGGTTAGGTGTCTTGCTCAAGGACACAACAGCAGAACTCTCTGGTCAGAGCCGGGATTGAACCTGCAACCTTCTGATTACTGGACAACCTGCTCTACTTCC